TATTTGCTTAATCTTCTTTTTTTTTTTTTTTTTGTTTAAAGAATACGTCAGGGAATTGTGTTAGAATTTCGATGGGTAGATTTTGCTCTGGCCTTACTTTGTGATGGAATGTGACGTTGGAGGCGTATCTGATTCATTCGTGCTGCATACTTGTAAGAGAAGAAGGGTTTGTAAAGCCTGCATTGCTCCGTCCGTTGATATCATGACAGAAACTGAAGCTTTTTTGCCTGTACTGAAATCAAGCGGTTATTATACCAAACCATCTCTGAAGGAATTACTGGCCAGGGAGCTTGTTGAACCTGGTTATTGCGGCCGTGTTTCTGATTTCACTGTTGGGAGATTTGGTTATGGATATGTCAGGTATCTTAACGAAACTGATGTGAGGGGGTTACATATAAATGAAATCGTCAACTTTCGCAGGCATGAGATAGTTGTATACAGTGATGAAAATGATAAGCCTGCAGTTGGTCAGGGCCTTAACAAGGCAGCTGAAGTAGTTTTGGTATTGGACAGTGAAATATTGAAGTCTATGGAGGGCAAGGAAGATGTGCTAGTGAACAAATTAAAACAAATTACAGAGAGACAGGAAGCGCAATTTATTTCCTTTGATCTAGTAACTGGTAAGTGGAAATTCTTAGTTGAACACTTCAGCAGATTTGGGTTTGGAGATGATGATGAGGAAGACATCGTCATGGATGATGCTGAGGTATATGATGTTGAGAAAGAATCGCCATCAAATACCAATGAAGTTGAGCTTTCTCATTCACTTCCTTCTCATCTTAGGCTTGATCCTGTTAAGATGAGAGAAATGAGATTATTGATGTTTCCAGGTGACGAAGAGGTAGAAGACTTAAGTCATAAATCATCTTCTGACAAGCAGTATGTACGGCCTTTACAAAGTTCTGCTCACGTAATTAACCATCGTTTCACCCCACCAGTTACAAGAAAAACTCCATTTCCATTACTTGAGTATAAACATGGTAATTTTGATTCAAACTCTCCTGGAGGCATTTTGATGGTTCAGCAGCATAAGGGCGTGCCTCTTAGGACAGTTAAATCACAAGGTTTTAATCTTGATCTCAAACATGAAACTCCAGTATCTGGAAACTATGCTCACAATATAGTTGATGCGGGTCTATTTATGGGTAAATCATTTCGAGTTGGTTGGGGACCAAATGGCATTCTTGTACACTCTGGTGCACCTGTAGGAAGCAGTGGTGATCACAGGCTGTTATCATCTGTCATCAATTTGGAGAAAGTTGCTTTTGATAATGTGGTCAGGGATGAAAATAAAAAAGTGAGTGAGGAACTTCTTGAACATGCTTTGGTATCTCCATTAAAGTTTCACAAAGGAATAAACCACGTGATGAAAGAAGTTGAAATTGGTCCCTGCAGGTTGAAACTTCAAAAGCTTGAAGCTAATCGTACGGTCCTGTCTGAGATTTCTCATCAGTACTGTGATCTTATTGAGAGGCAACTGAGTGTTCCTGGGTTATCTTCCTCTACTCGTTTGGGTCTGACGCACCAAGTAATGACCTGGGAATTAATTAGAGTTCTTTTTTCTGATAGAGAAGAAAAGGGTCAAGTAGAATCTTTGGGTGCTGACAATGAGGAAGATATGATGCAGGATATGAAGGAAATTTCACAAGATGTTGACCGAGAAGCACTCCCTTTAATAAGGAGGGCAGAGTTTAGTTATTGGTTACGAGAGAGTGTTTCCTATCATGTTCAAAATCAAATAAGCTCTCTAAATGATTCTGATTATCTGCAACATATTTTTGTTCTATTGACTGGGAGGCAACTGGATGAGGCAGTACAACTGGCTGTGTCCAAAGGAGATGTGAGATTGGCTTGTTTATTAAGTCAGGCTGGTGGTTCTACTGTGAATCGCTCTGATATAGCAAGACAACTTGATATTTGGAGAAATAAAGGGCTGGATTTTAGCTTTATTGAAGAGGAAAGATTGAGACTCTATGAATTGCTTGCAGGAAATATTCATGATGCATTGCATGATATCAAAATTGACTGGAGGAGGTTCTTAGGTTTATTAATGTGGTACAAATTACCACCAAACACTTCATTACCCATTGCTTTTCAGACTTACAAACATTTTCTTGATGAGGGAACGGCTCCGTATCCTGTTCCCCTTTTTATTGATGAAGGAACATTAGAAGAGGTTATCAGTTGGAACTCAGATAAGCACTTTGACATTTCATTTTATCTAATGCTTCTTCATGCTAGTGAAGAGACAAAATTCAGCTTTTTGAAGGCTATGTTTAGTGCATTCTCTTCCTCCCCAGATCCACTTGATTATCACATGATTTGGCATCAACGTGCAGTATTGGAAGCTGTGGGTGTTATCAATTCTAACGATCTTCATATTCTAGACATGTCATTTGTGTCTCAGCTATTGTGCTTAGGGAAATGTCATTGGGCCATATATGTGATCCTTCACTTGCCCCTTCGTGAAGATTATCCGTATCTTCATGTAAATTTGATTCGGGAAATATTGTTCCAATACTGTGAAACTTGGAGTTCAGACGAATCTCAGCAACAGTTCATTGAGGATTTGGGCATTCCCACGGACTGGATGCACGAGGCTTTGGTATGTATCATATTTTCTTGTCTCTTTATTATTTTACAAGTGAAGAATTATAAGTCACCTGCACAATGTCTTGCAGTGCCCTTTTAATTTCACATGTCTCTTGTACTATGGATGATAGATATTGATGGAAATGGAAAGGAATTAGCTGAAAGGGAATAAGTTCCTGTTTGTGCAAGTTTAAAACCAGAATAGAGTGAAATAGTACATCAGGGTACCATTCCCATTATTTTCCCAAAATAACACAATTTGCATTCCCGAAAATTAAGGTGAAATGGGGAGAACTCAATGGGTATTGGAGATTTGGAGTTTCATCCTGTTCCTATATTAATCTTCCAATCCTTGCTCTATTCTGCAAGCACACTGTATATTCTGACTATATTGTTAATTCAGTTTGTATATATATGACATTTTCACTTGGCCAGTGTTTTAAAATCCACAGGATTTATATTTGTTAGAGGACAAAAACTGCTTATTAGATTCACATGGTCACTCATTATGATCAATATATGACTAAAACTGAGTTAAATTGTTGTCCTGATATTCTTTACTGATTAATGGGTTATGCTAATGCTTTAAATGTCAGAGTTTTGTATTTCCTTAAGCGACTCTTCTAGTTGTCTGAACGATTTTGTTATGGTGACCAGGCAACTTATTATAATTACAATCAGGATCACTCGAAAGCCCTTGAGCAATTTCTTCAGTGTGCATATTGGCAGAAAGCTCATACTATTTTTATAACATCGGTCGCTCATAGATTGTTCTTGCAATGTAAGTCTTGTGTGTATCTTGCTTGGTAAAAAACACTATTAAATTCTTGTAAAGGACTCGAGTTTTTTTTCCTGATTATTTCTAGCATATTGTTTAGAGCCTTTACTAATAATCTTTTGCTATTTTTGTGAATCATACATAAGCTAGAATTACTGATTATCTGAACTTCACATAATTGCCCATTTGATCATTGCTGCTTCTTTTCAATAGCAGAAAATGACTAGATTTATTCCTCTTATTTCCAGATAACTGTGTCCTAAATAACTTATTTAATATCTTGTGCAGCAAAACATGCTGAGATATGGAGTATTGCAACTTCCATGGAGGACCATAAATCAGAAATTGAAAACTGGGAGTTGGGAGCTGGAATTTACATTTCATTTTATTTGATGAGAAACACGCTTCAGGGTGATCCCAATTCCATGACCGAATTGGTATGTGAATATCATCCCTCCCATCATTTATGTGAATGGTTGTTATGCGATCCTGTCATAGTTTGATTACGAGGTTTAACTAAAAGATAATTTGTTTGATCCTAAGCTTGTACTGTGGATTGCAATGGTATGAATTTCTACATGATGCAGAAGACAATAATTCCTGTTACCTTGTCATTTGAAATGCTTTTAGTTGTTGCATTGATTACACGGGGCAATCTTCTAAGAGGCTTTAAAACGTGATTTATGAAGTTAGGTAACTGTTGTGAATCTTTCCAATCTGTGTTGAGTGTGGGTCATGAAGCAAAGTTGTTATGGAAGAGGTTGACATCCATGTCATGCATTCTATTTGTATTTGGTTATGTTGTTTGCTAGATCAGGACTCTGAATATTCACATTGTGGTCTCAATTTCTAGAGTTTAGGACCAATTAAAATCATATAATTCTTGTTTCAGGATTCTCTTGAAAATAAAAATGCTACTTGTCAGGATTTTGTGAGTCAGCTAAATGAATCCCTGGCGGTTTGGGGTGGCAGACTACCTGTTGACGCAAGGTATATATATGTTGTCCTTTCCGGTGCATGGAAAAATGTTTGCAATAACTGCTTGTTTACCTGTTTTTAGTTGGTACAGCTCTGTTTCTGATTTTATAGGTTGACTAATATACTTATCCAAAACTGTTTTTTTGTTGGCCACGGACTTAAAAAGCGGAAAAAAAAAACAAATATGATAACACAGTACTATATTTGCAATTTTACTTGCTAGTTGCTAGTGTTATTGAAGCTGGTTTTACATCATCCAAGCCACACATCTTTAACCCAATAAATTCAGCACCTGTTTGTTTTTACACATTATTTCATTAGCTGACCGTATTTACCGTGTGATTGAACATCCATTTAGAGACATTTTATTTTCCATATTCACGTGTACTACTGATTTTGTAGGGTGGTGTATTCAAGAATGGCAAGCGAGATATGAGATTTACTGCTATCATCTGTTGGTGAGGGTGCAACCCGTGATGAGCAATTTAACTGCTTTGACACTGCTTTCAGTGCTCCCATTCCAGAAGACCAGCGCTCTGGTCACTTGCAGGATGCAGTATATCTTTTTACCAGCTACCTCTTAGAGATATCTAATTAATTTAACAATTTTACCATTTACTCTCAGATATAAAGTCCAATAGAAAATAGAACNAGAAACACGCTTCAGGGTGATCCCAATTCCATGACCGAATTGGTATGTGAATATCATCCCTCCCATCATTTATGTGAATGGTTGTTATGCGATCCTGTCATAGTTTGATTACGAGGTTTAACTAAAAGATAATTTGTTTGATCCTAAGCTTGTACTGTGGATTGCGATGGTATGAATTTCTACATGATGCAGAAGACAATAATTCCTGTTACCTTGTCATTTGAAATGCTTTTAGTTGTTGCATTGATTACACGGGGCAATCTTCTAAGAGGCTTTAAAACGTGATTTATGAAGTTAGGTAACTGTTGTGAATCTTTCCAATCTGTGTTGAGTGTGGGTCATGAAGCAAAGTTGTTATGGAAGAGGTTGACATCCATGTCATGCATTCTATTTGTATTTGGTTATGTTGTTTGCTAGATCAGGACTCTGAATATTCACATTGTGGTCTCAATTTCTAGAGTTTAGGACCAATTAAAATCATATAATTCTTGTTTCAGGATTCTCTTGAAAATAAAAATGCTACTTGTCAGGATTTTGTGAGTCAGCTAAATGAATCCCTGGCGGTTTGGGGTGGCAGACTACCTGTTGACGCAAGGTATATATATGTTGTCCTTTCCGGTGCATGGAAAAATGTTTGCAATAACTGCTTGTTTACCTGTTTTTAGTTGGTACAGCTCTGTTTCTGATTTTATAGGTTGACTAATATACTTATCCAAAACTGTTTTTTTGTTGGCCACGGACTTAGAAAGCGGAAAAAAAAAACAAATATGATAACACAGTACTATATTTGCAATTTTACTTGCTAGTTGCTAGTGTTATTGAAGCTGGTTTTACATCATCCAAGCCACACATCTTTAACCCAATAAATTCAGCACCTGTTTGTTTTTACACATTATTTCATTAGCTGACCGTATTTACCGTGTGATTGAACATCCATTTAGAGACATTTTATTTTCCATATTCACGTGTACTACTGATTTTGTAGGGTGGTGTATTCAAGAATGGCAAGCGAGATATGAGATTTACTGCTATCATCTGTTGGTGAGGGTGCAACCCGTGATGAGCAATTTAACTGCTTTGACACTGCTTTCAGTGCTCCCATTCCAGAAGACCAGCGCTCTGGTCACTTGCAGGATGCAGTATATCTTTTTACCAGCTACCTCTTAGAGATATCTAATTAATTTAACAATTTTACCATTTACTCTCAGATATAAAGTCCAATAGAAAATAGAACATCGATGTGTTTGTAAGGCAGGATTTTTATCTGCATATTATTCACGAGATTTGTGCGTTTTTTTTTAATTTATCTCGGTCTTGTATGATTGATAAGCATGAGATGCCGCTAAATAACATTCATTAATTTTGTTTGTATGGATGGGATACGGTTTTTGCTGTCATTGTCTAATGAGTTTCTACAATGACCTGATTACAGAAAGCTGAGCTGAAATGGAATAAATTGGGAATTATGCATTCAAAAATTTCAAGTGCCACCTTTAAGGTGAAATCTTCACACAAGCCAAATATCAGTATTGTTTGGTAGCATTAACTATATGAAACTGTGCGATTATAAATAACATGACATTTCATAGGGGTGTGTGGTGATCTGTCTTTATTTTGTTTGAAAATTTGATATAATCGTTCATTTGAATCTAAATTTAATCTGATAATTCAATAATGAGAGAGAAGACTGAGTCTCTTTTGATGTTATATATTAAATTTTACATATAATTAAACTAAAATATACGGCTATAACTGATTCAATATAAATATAATAAACATCTTTTATTTAGTAACAATATAAACTGAAAATCAAACCAAGCCATAATGAAAAAGATGTGATTTGGTCAATTTTCAATTTAATTTATCTTGTAAACTCAATTTGATTTGATTTTAAAGAATTCCACTTTCCAGTTTTGTTGAGCTAGGATGTATAGCTAGTGGACCGAGAAAAGTTAAGAGGAAGTTGATCCATATTTATCATTCGGATGATTAACTCCGCAAGGAGCTTGCAAAAATATAAATTATCTTTAAAATAAAAGAGCTCTTAATATTATATAAAATAATACTTACATATTCTATTTTTTAAATTTTAGTAAGATGTCGCTCACATCCTTAGTTAAATAGACTTTTTAGTCTTTATATTATCCCACTTTTTTCCATGTAGTTTTTTGAATTTTAAAAATTTCAATTCTGTATTAACACATTTCTTCAATGTAGTGTTAGATTTTGAAAGTTCTCCATTTAATGTTAATTCTATTTAGCTTTAACCTCAAATCTATTTAAACTTTATATCAATTATATTTAAAGTGCCTTTATTCAAAGTTTAATCTCAATTATATTTAATTTTAATGTCAATTATATTTAAAATGACTCAACTGTCTTTCTATTAAATTATTTTAATATCATTCAAGAAAATGAGTTTTTTTTTACCAAAATGACAAAATTGAAGAACATACGTAAGTAAATAGGCAAATCTAACAAATTTTATAAAAATAGACAAGTCATCCAAGTTTAATAAAAATGGCAAGTCATGCAAGTTTACTACAACATTGTCTTTCACTCTTCCTTTCCTTATCTTTCCATTCCTACCTCAATCTAAATAAACCCTAGAAGTAGATAATTGGTTATTAAGTCATAAAAATATTTATTTATAAATGATGTACTTAATTAATACATGTTAGATTGATAAGAAAAAGAAGCAAGAGAGAAGAGATTGTGCAACACAAACAAGAAGTAGAATAATTTATTTAAACCTCAACACAAGTGAACTGAGCTTGTTCCAAAGCTCTTCATACTAACATACATGAATTTCAAAATGAAGTATGAGATATTACATTAAATATTTCAAACACCAAACACCAAGCAGTAATTTATATTTAATCCCAAAGATCATTGAGTTGTGGCTTGGTGGGTCCAGCGATTAAACGACTCTGATGAATCTGACTTATTTTATTATGATCTTCTTCTGTCAATGCCCAATCAAATATCCTCAAATTTTGGTTCATCCTCTCCTTATCGTAGCTTTTTGGAACAAAAGTGACTCCTTGTTCATACAACCATCTAAGGCAAATTTGAGCTATGGATTTGCCATGAGCATCTGCAATTTCTTTCAGTACATCATTTTCCATCACTTCATTTGGACCCCTGCTTGCACCTTTCCTTAAAGGTGAAAATGCAGTTATGATTATACCATTTGCACTGCAAAACTCTCTCAGTTCCTTTTGTTGCCATGCAAGGTTCATTTCCACCTACAATATTTATTTAATAACAAAAAAACATCAATATGAATTCATCATGAATCTTTCATGTCAACACAGTAAAAAAAAGAAAAAAAAAAGTATTACTTGATTCACCACAGGAAGGATGGTAGCAACAGACAACAGATTCTGAAGTTTCTTTACAGAGAAGTTGCTGACTCCAATAGCTTTAGTGAGGCCAAGCTTTTGACATTCTTCCATGGCTTCCCACACACCCTTCACATCAAAAGGCAAGAGATCTTCTACTTCAATGGGAAAAGAAAACTTTCCAGGTTGAGAACTAAGAGGCCAGTGAATGAGATAGAGATCGAGATACTCCAGTTGAAGAGTTCTGCATCAGAAAAAAGCTTAATTCAGTTTATGTCATTTATATGGCTACTTGTTATGGAGTTCTTCAAAAAATGGTCTTAAATTGAATTTATATATATACATTTATATACCTGAGTGATTTGCGCAAAGCTGAAACAACAAGATGAGGATGATTCTCAGTGACCCAAAGCTTTGACGTGACAAAGAGGTCTTGGCGAGAGACAAGGCCAAGTTCAACTGCTTCTTTCAAGGCTTCACCGAGAGCTTGCTCAGAGCCATAGGCAGCAGCAGTGTCAAAGTGTCTGTAGCCTTGTTTTATGGCCTCAATGATTGCTTCCTTTGTGTCTTTCTTGCAGGTGAAATCTGGGGCAGAACCCATTCCGACCACTGGCACCCTCTGTTGGGAAGAGGAGTTTGGAAGCACCAATGTCGGAATTTCGACAGCAACCATTGTAACAATTGCTGATTAACTGGTATAGTTTAGTACTATAATGTAACCAGGAACCAACACTACTTGGTTGTTGCAGTTGATGGAAACTACTGGCTGGTCACCCTTTTATACTACAAATTTGTCGTTTCATCTGTTTCTATTATTTCTGAACTCCACCTTTGAAATGTCTGCAAACAGAGGTTAGGTGGGATAAGATGAAATCTACCTCCATTCATCACATTCTTATTTTATTCAACAATAGTTGACTTGAGTACTATGTAATTCAGCATAAGAGAGTCTGTCGATTGTTGCATTCATTTCTACTAAGAATAACAAACTTAAGATCATCGATTTATAAGATAAGATTTACACTTATTTATATATTATAAATTGATTTTATTTTTAGTTGAGGTAAGACTTCTTAACATGATATCAGAATCAAGTTAAAGCCTATTTTAGTAAAATTTGTATGAGTATTTACGTGTTATCGGACTATTATAGGATCATCTATTAATATTTAGTCTCACAATGTTCTAATAATATCGAATTCCTGTTGTATGAGTATTTATATGTTATCGGACTATTATAGGATCACCCATTGATATTTAGTCTCACAATGTTATAATAGTATCGAATTACTGTTGTATGAGTATTTACGTGTTATCAGACTATTATAGGACCGTCCATTAATATTTAGTCTCACAATGTTATGATAGTATCGAATTACTATTGTACGAGTATTTACGTATTCTCAGACTATTATAGGATCATCCATTAATATTTAGTCTCATAATATTGTGATAGTATCAAATTATTGTTTGATCATCTATTAATATCTAGTCTCACGATGTTGTAATGGGTTGGAAGTCATATGATAAAATATTGATAATATTTAATTGCGGATTGATTAAAGCAAAAGTCATCTTCAACTATTCAATATTTTGCATTGTTATCTTAATCATGAACCCTATTAATTATAAACAACTGCAGAGGGTCCAGTTGTTGTGTATTCTTTTATCTTTAACATTATAAATAATACTAATCAACTACTCAGAATTTGTCCAATTTTAAAGAGAAAGGAGGAAGCCTTGTGTCCACCATCTTGGTTGTTGAAACTAAAAACATAATTTGTAAACTGGAATCTGCCATTATGTGTATACTGATCTGTGGCATCTTTTTATTTTATCTAATATAAGAAACTGACAAATATATACATCACAGAACAGGTGTACAGATTAGAAGTGAAGAGAGAATACAAATAACACGTGTAATGTATTGAAAAAGAAAGAGATAGATTCAAAGAAGATGAAATAAAGATAATCTTTTATGTATATTATAAATAAATACCATATATGTTTAACATTTGCTTGTTTTGAAAATAATATTGTGACTCCAGAAAAGTAAGTCTTGTACATCATTCTTTGACTCAGTCTTAGCAAGTTCAGTTCAGGATTCATCTTTTTGGGAGTTCATTACGTTGTTATTAGGTGTCTCACATGAAGATGAAAACTATGGTGAGCTGAACAGTAGCACGTTAGCAAAGCATGAATCAGACCAAATTAAAAGTCAAGTCTGGTGGCTCTCGCGACAAGACCAAACATAGGATCAAATAAATATCACACCACATCCCCATAATATTTATATATATTTAAAC